TAGTGAATAAAAAAGGAATGTAGTAGTGAATAAAAAAGGAATGTAGTAATAAATAAAAAAGGAATGTAGTAGTGAATAAAGTAATAAAAAAATAGAGAAGCAATCTGTTATTTATATAATAGGTTGCTACATTTACCATACTTTACCAGATTGTAAAAAAATCTGTACCATACTTTATTTGTTCTTTATCAATATTAAAAATCTACGTCATACTGTTCTCTATCAATGTTATAATATTAGCTGTTATCTATATAACTTTAATAAATTATTAGTATTTGTTATATGAAAAAAAATTGCTATACTTCTTTTACTTATTGATGATGATAATATCTCTAAAATACAGAAAATCTCCCTAAGTGCATCACAAGAGATCCAGGGGTCAGTCTTTGAAATACATTCAGGAAGATCTTTATAAATCAAAGTTTTATTCCTCTTCAAAACAATGACAATTAATATATAAAATAAATTTACTTAACTTCTGACATAAAATCCATTATTCAATGACTAAATATCATTGTAAAATTTGCAAAAGGTATTTTACAACTTCCAGTAGACTGACACAGCATGTCAATACAGTACATCATGGAAGAAGAACTATTTCTCAACCAACAGGTCATACCTTGCAAAGTTTACAACTATCTCAGCCAATACAGACCAGAACACAATACAGATTTGTGGAGTATGCTGATTACAAGGTCATTTCTTCTGACAACATCAGTAGAACATAATGAAATGATGACATCACCTCTAAATGTTGAAGAAGAAATGACATTATCACTAGATTTTGAAGAAGAAATAACATTATCTGTGGTAATTGCAGATGAGGTTTCAGAAAAAAGTTCTAAAGAATCACTACTAGTAGATATTGACACTAGCTTTGATTCTGAAGATCTTTAAGATACAACTTTGGATGATGCTTTGAAGATCATTGAAGGAAAAATTAAACCAGAATGCTTAGTACAATGACCCAACGATGTTTATCATGACTTCATGGAGTTGATAATAGAGGATAATATTTCGAACAAGATCAGGGATAAAATAATTAAATTCTTTAATAAGCATGATAATCTGGAGGAATCATCATTACCAAAATCCACAAAAAGTAAAAAAGATTACCTTAACCAAATAAAATCACCTTTGATCAACTTTAAAGAAAAGGTTGTCAGAACTTTCTCTAATGTCAATTTTACTCTCTATTATTGTCCAATTTTTTGAGCCATTCAAATGCTTCTACAATGACCAGAATAACAGACAATTTTAACCAACAGTGTGTTCTAAAAAAGAAGAAGATGGTAAATTTTTAATTACTGTAATGTTAATTAACAAAATTAATAAATTAGTAAACATTAAGTAATTATCAGGAAGGTAAAGTTGAAATAAGGGTATTCGAAGAACAGTACAAATGTAATTGATGACACAAGACTGAAAAGACGCTTCCTCCATTACACTGTCTATTGTTGATCATTCTATATTCAGATGCCACTATCTTCAATGGTCTCAGCAAGATATCAGGATATCCTGTATTTTTAACACTCGGCAACTTTCCAAATTGGCTTCAAAATAAATCAGAAGCTAAAGTTCTTTTGAATTTTTTGCTCAAAGTCCAAGACTCAACGATAAAAATCACCGAAGATTTTGAAGCTTGCAATGCGAAGTGTATTACAAGTGCTTTAAAATTATGCTTGGTTCTCTAATGGAAAAATTCAACGAATTATATTTCGGAGTACAGGGGTGACCAATAATTTTTGCAGTATATATTTCAGTCTTTCTCGCAAACATGCTTGAAGCTGATGATGTGACCGCAACATATAAAGCAGCAAGATGCAAAATACCATGTCATGTCTGCATGATTCTGCGAGATAATCTCAATAATATGAATCTTGTATCAGAGGATATGAATCTTAGAACACCAAAAAACATGCGACAGATTATAAACAAAGATCAGGGCAAGAATTTTTCTGTACACAATGTTGAAAATGTCTTCTGGAAGTTCTCATAAGTGTTTGAATGCTGTTACCAGGTTAATAATAATTTCACCAATCTCTCGATTTTGGTAAAAACCGTTTAGCCCGATTTCGTTAGTTTAAATTTGCTTTTGAAATTCTATTTTTATTTCGCTTTTGTTTTCTATCTTAAATTCGCTTTTATTTTCTATTCTAGATTCGCTTTTGTTTTCTATCTTAAATTCGCTTTTGATCTTGCTTTTATTTTCTATTTCTTTTTCTATTTTAAATTCTCTCTTAAACAATAGAATGCATTATACATTGAGTTTCGAAAATAATGTAACCAGAAAAATGTATATATAGTCCTCGCAGATGTTAATAAAGAAAAAAAAAAGAAGAGAATAAAATTGCATACAATTCTTCTCCAAGTAAATTAGACTTGTAAAATTGTTGTAATTGATTGTGGTTAGGTTCTTTAGTTCAGAAAAGGCATTGATATTGTTAAATTGGCATATTGATTAATTGATTGAAAAAGCGCTTTGTGATTAAACAGTTTAAGGCTTTTAGCTAGAAAAAGCAATGATTGGAAGTTAATAAGAAGAATATTGTCAATAACCCGTCACGTAAAACTTAAACCCAAAAACATCTTACCTACATACCGACCCAACTAAACTCCCCTCTCTACCGTCATACTGTAGATATCGGCACGGGAATTAGAAACGATCAAGTACTACTCAGTCTAATTACTCCCCCCAACCCATTGTTATAGGTAAAAAACGTCGATTACGTCTAATCACGATCAACCCGTGACAATACCCTAGCCATGGCACAAAAAAATGTCATGGTCATGTGATTTTAAGGAGGTAAACCAATCAAATCGCAAGATATAAAAATATTAATGACGTTTCGGTTAGGGTTAGAGTTAGAGTTAGAGTTAAGATTATATTATATTGGACACACAATATATAGTAAAATTTCGCAAGGAACATATTTTGTTAAAACACAAATAGTAGTTTCATAAGCAAAATATTGAGATACAAGCTATTTTTCAAAAATAAGCATTTGTTTTGAATTTTTCATTACACATTGATCTTGCGATTGATTGGTTTACCCCCTTAAAATCACATGATTTGGACATTTTTTTGCCATGGCTAGGGTACTCATCACCATAAATAAAATTAATGTTACGTACTTTAAAGCCAAAATTATTTCATCAAAAAAATAAAGAATAAATATTTATTATAAATATAAATTATAACGATAAATAAACAAGTGTAGATTTCATAATTAAAAAAGATTATTTAAATATAAAGTAGTAAAAGATGAATTTTGATCAAGCAAAAGAGGTGTGTTTAAATTAATAATAAAATAAGGTGGCTCTTGATTAATCTCGCTAATCTCTTGATTCGATGGAGGAACACAAGAGAATAGATCACTTAGATTTTGATCGAGTGAAAAAGGTGTGTTTCTATTATAAGATGGATTATTTAGTTCTTGATTAGACGGCAAAATATTAATCTCTTGATTCGGTGGAGAAACAGGAGATAATGGGATTGTATTTGTATTTTGATCAAGCAAAAGAGGTATGTTTCTATTAATGGTATCACTCAGAGAAGTGTTTAATATACTTAATTGCCGAATTTGTTCCTTAAGTGATTCTTGTTCTGCTTCCAAGTTATGTATTCTGTCAGACTGAGAAGTATTTTCCATGATTAATCGCCGATGTTGTTCCTTAAGTGAGTCAATTAATTCATGCGAATTAATGAGTTCTTTTTTCTTTTTTTCGCGGTATCGTTTAGCTAAATTTAACCGTTTTTATTAATGAACATATGAAAAATATAAATAAAATAGAATTATTATTTATATAAATTATAATTACAATATTCCCTTCCGCGTCTGTTCATTTTAATAAATTGCTAAGCTTTGGATGAGAAACAAATCTGCTGTTACAGTTGTTGAAGGTGTTGTTGCGATTGCGGTTATTGTTTTTTTATTTTTGCTGTGCTGTTGTTGAAGTTTTGAATTCGTTGTAAATATGGAGTAAGTATTAGTCTTCATTAAACGCGCGGAATGTATTGATTCCATAGGGGTGTGAGATATTCTATGTAGAACAAATTAATAAAAATTATTATATACAGATTTTAAAATATAGTTTAATTGTATGTTGGGTTTTTTAACAATATTAATAATAAAAATATTTGTATAAAATTTAAAAGCTTATAACTTTTCAAGAAAGAGATACCAAAATATAATATAAGATATAATAAAAAAAGATTTCATATAGACTTATAAGAAAAATTTATATAATAAGAAAATCTGTACTAACAAAATTTATATTTGATCTATATAAAATATCTCACACCCCATATTTCATAGCGAAGCTTGGAATATGATCCATCTTATAAATTATTGTATATTTTTTAGATAAAAAAAAAGAATAACCCGTTTTTGTTAATGAATATTGAAAAATATAAATAAATAGAATTTATTATCTATATAAATTATAATTACAATAATCGATTCCAAAATCACCTAAGTATCTGTCGTTGGTTGACGTTAATTCACTCCATATGTACTTTTTTGGTTGATGCTCCATTTCAGGTAACGTTTTCCGCAGATATCCAATAAGAGGTTTGCGTCTTTTCCGCAGATATTCAGCAACGGTAAGATGTTTGCGTCTTTCAAGCCTTCGCTCCGTCATATATGTTGCGATACATACTCGAAATACAAAGAACGCATCCATTGCTTTACTTTGATTCTTTAAGTTTCTTTCTTTTATTAAGTATTCTAGTGTGAAATCTGACAAGTCTACATTCAGATAATGTGACACGCGTTTCAGAAATCTCAGATGACGTGACACCCAATATTTTTCCGAAAGGCGTTTCCTTTTATAATCCTGCTTCCTGGGCATGGTTTAACAGTAAACGGGAAGCATAGAAATTCTAGATGAATGAACTTCTTTTAATTCGAACGAAATTTTGTTGTAAGCTTCTTTTTGACCTTTAGGCAGCTTTTCCAATGCCTTTGAGTAATGGCAGAAATTTCAGTAGCATCACCTATTTGAAGAAGTTGGTTCTTATCGTTATGTTTAGTATGTTTTTTACGGGATAAATTAATATTGTATTATCGTTATGTTTTACGGGATAAGTTAATACATGTATTTATATTTCCTTGCCTCGCAAATCATTGCTATCTACGAACTTTTGTGATGCAATATTGATATCAATATTTGTTGCATAATTTTCTAACGACAGATTTTGTTGACGACAGATCTTGCTGACGACAGATTTTGCTGACGACAGATTTCGTTGACAATGGAAATTTCTTTTTATAAATGAAAGCGTGCACATGTTTAAATTAAATTATTGGTCGACGAAGTTTGTTACATTTTGTAAATAATGCTGCAATAAAATTTCGGCATAGTTATACATGTACTTTAGTACGTTTACAAATAAATACATGTATTACTACACCGGTCATAAGTAACTGCAACCCCTCTAAGTGCAATTATTCTCTAAGTGCACGTTCTAATTGGCCCCAACTTATAAGATATATATGTATTTTTACCTCCATAAATGCAATACCTCTCTAAGTGCAAGTTTTTGCATGGTCCCGAGGAGTTGCACTTAGGGAGGTCTGACTGTATAGTCCCTATTGGTGCTGCTATACGGCGTTTCACACTATCCACTAATTTGTGGCAAATTCGGATGGGAGACAATTCCACTCTTTTGTCAGTTCTCTCTTTAATCCATTAATTGTATGAATATTTTTTTAATATTTTAACTTCATACGTTTTCTAAGCATAGCGGGGTTTCGCTGTGATTGGCTAATTTTTGTAGATCATTTTGTGATTTTTGCGAAATATTATTGGCTAATAAAGAATATACGTAAATTGGCGAATATAATACACGTCATGCAATTAGTTTTAATCTGCAGGTGACACAAATGTGAAATGTGAGATACCGATACGTACATGCATGTAATTTACAAAAATGTAATATTTTGCGTTTTTCAAAAGTAAATTTCCAAATTTTATAACAAAACACAACTCGAATAATATATAAAGTTATAAACATATCGTTAAATCAATATGGGTCGTATCACTATCGAACAAAGATCACGAAGGATTCTCTTCCCGTTATATTACATCAAAAGAAAAAATATTATACTATATATTTCGAGTGGCGAATGTTCTAATGTTGGTTGTATCGATTCAAAAAAATTACAAACTAATCATAAAATTAATGTAAGCGATAGTACTATAAGAACTTTGCGTAGAATGGGGTTTCTGTTAGAATTAAACGAAAAAAACTATGTTAAAAAAAACACATCGAAAATTGCGTTTAAAATAGTGGATGATTGGAACAAGGTGATTTGTTCAGACGAGTCTAAGTTTATGATATATGGGTCAGATGGTCGTGAATATTGTTGGAAATGCAAAAATGAACCACTAGATTACCGTCATGTAAAACCTACAGTCAAATTTGGTGGCGGAAGTATTATGATCTGGGGTTTCTTCTGAAAAATGAATGGCTCGAGTTAGCATGCGATTATTTATTTCGTAAAATTGAATTCATGTAGCAATCATAATCATTTAGATTCCAGCATTTAGTAGGTTGAGCAAATTTATCCAGAAGTAAATTATGAACTTGTACATCGAATGCGCTGGAATTGGAAAACACGTCGAACAACTCATTCCTTACTTGCTCAGAAATATCTGAAAGTCGACGAGTAAATTCCTTAAGCACAATGTTGCGATAACGAGCTAATTTGGTATTAATAAGTTCATTCCATGTTTCTCCATAGCGAGCCATATACGTTACGTCTATCCAATCTATCCATTCAATGTCACCATCATCCTCATCATTAACATCGCTCTCATTGTCACGATCGCTACCATCATCATCTGATTCGCCATCTGAATCATTTTCGATGTGATTGGACTCGAATTCATCTTTCTAATAACCCCAGAGATTTCATAAGCAGATAATCACCATCTAATGGCATCGACAAACTCGGGATCAATGTCTATACTTCTTGACATTGTGATCTTTCTAATGATTGCTTGTTTTTAAATCAACGTCCAGATCCCATGCTGATACGTACTATTTGTTTCTATCTTTTTACACGAACTTTGGACGGGAATATCTCCGCCAATACACAACTAATATTTGTGATCCGGGCACCAATCCGTTACCTTGATTAGGCGAATCGAACGAAGCTGAGTTCGCAAAAACCGGAACATAGATCGACAAGATATCGTTAATCAAAGAAGCCTTACGATCCTGCTGTCATTTTGCGGTTTTCTTGCGCCGACTTGGAATACCAATATCTTCAACAGGCCCTTTAGGGGCGATTCTACGAGTCATATCGCTCCGATTTTGATGATCTAAATGTCAAAATGTTTTTTAGGATCGCAAAAAATAGAAAGAACCTAAGTTCGAAAAGATCCAACCATAGATTGGCGAGATATTAATATTCAACGAAGCCTCACGGAATATTTGTCATCGCATGCTTAACAAACATTGTATTCCGGTGTTCGAGATCTTTATATTAGCCAAAAATGGTAGAAATACATGCGAATTACACCTTTTCATAAAAAGAATCACATTTATTATTACTAACGATAATGCGGATTGTTATTGTTTATCACTATAGAGCAGAATTGGAAACTAATTTAGATTATGTGTGCGCGTTATTTTTTATTCCTATATTGAGCTACGAGGTGAGATATTCGCATTCTTTTTTTTACCGTTACCTACATTAATTATTTCTGTTAATCGATTAATACATAAATATCTTCTCTGGCTTCGAACATAAAATGTGATAAGGCAGTTGAAATATGCCAGAAAAGCTTCCCGAGACCGAAATCATACTACGGATAATTTGAGACAGCAACCCGCAGATATCTGAAAACTAAATCAAAGCGTAAAGAAAAGTGACCGGAAAACATGATTTATATCACGTGATAATCGTTTGACAAACCCGACATAACGATAAGACAATGTCGATATTGATATGCACGATAATCATTACGTAATCAGTTCAGTTTAACTCATTTTTCAAGTCATTTTTCTACAAAACCAAATATTTTTACTTTCCCAATATGTTTTGTCAATCTATGAAGAAGTTCCAGGAGCAATTCAAACTTCCAAAATTACCAAAGGGGCCTCTAGGAGAGAATAAGTGACTGGGAATCACGCGGGTTACTTTTAAGTTTCACCCAGTGTTAACTCATGGTTTGCAGTTTACCTTTTCAGATCGGTTCCAATATATCGATAAAAATTACAACAAATTTCTTGAAATTCGCGAACATTCTGGGTACAAGTTTGATTATAATAACGGTAGCGTATTTATCGTTGATATGTGCTCGAAGCTGTTGTTAGCGTATTGCAAAAAATATTTCGATATTCCAAATGGTGGTGGTGTTATCATTAGTCCACCAATGCTCGTAATTGGTCAACCACGTAAGAAAATTCCAACTTGCTTGATCTTTGCTTGTCATTGATTTTCTAATCTTCCACATCCTTTCCATAGTCCATCCAGATCCTTTACCAACTGCAAATGGAAAATATATCGCACCGGATGTTGCAGTATATCCAGATGAGATATACGTTCCTCTAAATTTCACTCCGCTCCGGAGCCATAATTATATAAATCCAAATCACTTCATGTGACACTCTAGCTCCACATTAAATGACCCGGAGCTAGAATGATGATATATTTAAAATGCCAATGAAATAGTTTCAGGATAAAAGTCCAGCAAAAAAATGAATTTGATTTTGTTAAGTCAAATGAATTAATGATTCTGGTAATTTAGAATATTTCTGATATGAAATCATTGATTTTCCAAGATAGTGAAAACAGATTCGAAAATATAGTATATTATTAGTATTAGTTCATTATGAAAAAGGTAATAATTATAGGACCAAGTGGACAAATCATATAATTCGTTAGTAAGTATTATATAATTTAGTTAGGTGATTATATGCAATACAACTTTTGCAATTTATTAACAAATTTATCTATCAATATGTATTTTAATTGATTTAAACTTATACAATTTTTTATACAACTTTATTATTAAACACAAATATCTACTTTAAATAAATGAATTTTATTAAATAATGAACCTATTGAGAATGAGTCCGAGAGTACTATAGACATTTATAGTTACACCCTTCTATAGTCATCCTGTTTTGCTTTCCCATTTATATATAAACATAGTAAAAAAATCTCTCTATAATCACATCTTCTCTATAGTCACCAAATTTTGCTTTCCTGAAAATGGTGACTATAGAGAGATTTGACTGTATTAAATCATTCTAATATTTTATCAAGATCAGAAGTTGCAAAGAAAAGTTCTGGACCAAAAACTTTTTTTCTGAGAAAATCAATCAAGATATTTTTACCATTTTCTGATAAAGAATATAAAACTGGAATTATTTAGATGCTTTTTATATTAAATATGCCTACTAATTCCAAAAATATTTATTGAGACTTTTATTTCTATCTGAAATTATATTTTTAACATACTAAAATAATAGTTTCATAATAATAAGATTAATTTTAGTTGTTAATTTGACTTTAAAATCCAGAAAAATTAAAGAATTTAGTATTTGAAAATGAAGTATTTGGTATACATGATAAGAAATTAATATTATAATATAAAATTAGATCTTTAATTACTATTTGATTTATTAATAATATAAGTTTTATTCATATTCAATTATATTAATTTCATATCCTACAAGATCTAGTTTAGATATTATATCAAAGAAAAGATCATTATTAAAATTTTTTATTTTAAGTAAAATATAATTTTTAAATTATTTGAATATATAACTATTATTTAAATTGCTTCATAAACTTGTTTATATAAACTTATTAATATATAAATTTTTTTCAAAA